TGTCCTTATGACCGATATATGGAAGGAGACTGGCATTTACAAACCTTCACCTCACCATGTTGGTGCCTAAGTCTCTATGGGCATCTTTACACATACTACAGGGGCAGGGAACAGGGTGCTTTAATTAGAGAGGGTCCAAGATCCACCCTAATTAAAGTGCCTGCAGCATCTCATGTATTCAGCATCCTGTGCTTCAAATGGTGGCGGGGCTGCTTTATCTAAAGCTGCCTTTGATGAGCTTTAGTTAAAGTGCCCCCTCTGCCATTTTGAAGGCTGCTGGAGCATGCTAGTTAGTACGCTCCAGTAATTACAGCACATTGGAGCAGTGCCCCTGCACATCTACAGGCACCTTATAAATACTATAAGCAACTGAACTGCTGCTCTTACTCAGGTATAGAGCTATAAGTCTTGACAGAAATAAGCTGCTTAGCACCTAGGACACTTGGAGGGCCTGATCTAGTAGGTGCACTCAGACCCATATGACCTCACGCAACCAAGCCAGAGCCGGTGCCCTCTTCTTTACTGTTACCAAATAAGTGATTAGAGCACTGAGCTGAGGTGCAGGAGATTCCAATTGAAATCTCTCTTCTGCCTGAAAAGATCTGAACTTGCATTTCCCAACTCTTAGGGATCTAACCAGAGAGTCATGGGGCTTCCTGGGGTGGTTCTCTCTCAGCCCCTCCTGCTGATGTCCCATTGGGCATATCTACAGCAGATGCTTTACTGCGCAGCAGACTAATTTTCTGAACAGTAAAGCATCACTGTCTGCATGTGCATGGCAATTAGGGCACAGTAGATAAATTTACTGCAAGTGCTGGATAGTCTTATCAAATACAAGTGGTATCCGGCAGCACAGTAAATTCCTGCGCTTAAACACACATGTAGATAATGACGTTGAGATTAGTTTACTCCAGCTCAAATTGAGTCAGAGTATGTTCAGCTGCGTTAATTGCACATGTAGACATGCCCACCTTGTGTAAAATACTTAACTAGGCAATGAGCCAGAGAGAATGACAAAACATGGCTCAGAAGCCTCGTTCTCAGGGCTCAATGGGCTCAAGCCCCTGCTCCACTGAATATTCAATACAAAATCCCAACTGAGCCTCCTAACCATTGAATGCTTGGACAATGGGAACATAGCCGGGGCACTAACACCACCTTCAAGGTGGAAAAATGAGCTTCAACACCTAATTTAGTTCAGAAGAGAGCTCATCACTGTGAAAGCTGAAGAATTAGGCCCCTTAATCCCTAACCTCTCCTCAGTTAAACACATCTACATGTGCCATTAATGTGCAGCAATAGACTCCAGAGATTATTGCCCAGGAGTTTTTTGTTCCCAGGAAGCTCCCAGGAGCACTGTTTACACATACACCCAGACCATAGCACATTGATCCAGATCAGAGCAGCCCAGGCTTGCAAGGGGGTCAGCCTGCCAGCCTGGGGCTGCTTTGACCGGATTCAATGTGCTATGGAGGGGCTGGCTGGGGCACAAGGGTGCTTCGGTGTACGGATAGCCCAAAGGTAGTCTTGAAACACCCTTGTGCCCCAGCATCTACACATGCACTGCTGTGCATGAAAAAACTCTGCAGCAGGGCAGTATTTGTATTTACCAATAGTACCCTGCTGCAGAGTTTATTAGATGCTGAGACATTTACTGAAGAGCTAATTAGGCAGGTCCACAGTAAATGTCTCATGTAGATGCATGAATATTTCCTATTTGCTAACTTAATCTGCTCCCTGCTTGGTATGTGGTGGGTTTTGTGAATATTATCCTTTGGTGTGTAACTCTCCTCATTTTGGGCAGGGAGCCCAGGACCCTAGCTCAGGGGAATCTCAGAAGGCTGCCAAGTGCCTAATTTATAGGCTCTGCAATGCCCAGCATTGTGATAGCTAAATCCTCCTTGTGGTTTTCCTGCTATGATTTCCTCCCTTAGCCTCCCAGTAGCTCAGTTCCTCATCTCTAACAATGGAGTCTTACCTCTATCCTTGGGAAACTCTTTGAGAAGATCCTCAAGGAGCACATCTGTGATGGGCCGGCTTCAGCGATGATGCTCAAGGGCAACCAGCATGGTTTCATTAGGGGCAGGTCATGTCAGACCAACCTGATTGCCTTTTATGATCAGGTCACAAAGGCAATGGATGCAGGTGTTGCC